CAATGGCTTTGGCAGATGATGAAAAAATGTGACGATGCCAACATTGATCGATTATCATTTATAGTGGAACATTTATCCGGTGCAGCATTCAGATGGTATATAAGAAATGAAGGTCAAATGCACAGCTGGGACGCATTTGTTAACAAATTTTTTGATAAGTTTGCTCCAGATGCGTCAATCTTCACAGATGCACGACAAATTGCAACACCAAGCAAAGTCATCTTATCCGAGGAGAATCCGATGGAGGATTATAATCCTCCTTTAATCGAAGATCATAAACAACAAGAATTAATAAAAAGCTCATCAAGATTTGAACCAGAGTTGAAATTAGCTTCTGTCAAAAGGATAATTACTGATGCATTCAAATTCGCCGGAAGACCAAATCAAAATGTTAAACAATGGTTACAGGAATTTGACGAGGCTTTACAACTGGTCAAGGTTAGTGATGTAGCTAAATATGAGCAATTGGTTTTGAAATTATCCGGTGAAGCCAAAATATGGTACCAAAATAATAAATCATCCCTATCAACATGGTCGCAGCTTGTGGATGGTCTACACCAAACATTCTCTTTACCGACTGAAAGAGAACTGGCATTTAAACAATTGAACAGTCCTCAACAAGGTGCCAATGAACCAGTTACAACAGTATGTTAACCAAGTTATTACTTGTGCACACAGGTTAATCCAAATATGGATAATAATACAGAAATTGATTATCTTAAATCCGGCTTAAAAAGTTTTTGTATTATCATCAACATTTGAATTACAATATCTAACCCGTCTTTTAAAGTAATACAACGTACTCCAATTCCTTTATCGAATAATTTTTTGAAAGATACATTGAAGTCTTGACCCACAATATGCTACAATAACACTTTAATCTTATTGTGAAAGATATATTTCAAGTGAAGTATTGGTGATTTGCCTTTTGTGGCGTATCTTGGTGACTTGACCTAGAATATGCTTCAATAACACTTTAATCTTATTGTTAAACACATACATCAAGTGAAGTATTGGTGATTTTCCTTATGTAGCTTATCTTGGTGACTTGACCTAGAATATGCTTCAATAACACTTTAATCTTATTGTGAAAGACATACTTCAAGTGAAGTCTTGGTGATTTGCCTTTTGTGGCGTATCTTGGTGACTTGAGCTAGAATATGCTTCTATGACACTAAAATCTTATTGTGAAAGATATACTTCAAGTGATGTCTTGGTGACTTGACCTAGAATATGCTTCAATAACACTTTAATCTTATTGTGAAAGATATACTTCAAGTGATGTCTTGGTGACTTGCCTTTTGTGGCGTATCTTAGTGACTTGACCTAGAATATGCTTCAATAACACGCTAAGCTTATTGTGAACGATATATTTCAAGTGAACTCTTGGTGATTTCCCTTTTGTGGCTTATCTCGGTGACTTGACCTAGAATATGCTTCAATAACACGCCAAGCTTATTGTGAAAGATGTTCTTCAAGTGAAGTCTTGGTGAGTTCCCTTTTGTGGCTTATCTTGGGCACTTGACCTAGAATATGCTTCAATAACACTTTAATCTTATTGTGAAAGATATACTTCAGGTGAAGTCTTGGTGATTTGCCTTTTGTGGCGTATCTTGGTGACTTGAACTAGAATATGCTTCA